GGGGTCTGTACCAAACAAACATGTCTTCTTAAATCTGGAGAACAAGTTTTGTAGAGCAGGGCATCTCCTCAGCACTACAGTGCTTCATTATAACGCTGTTTGTCACACATTTTACTTTTATCAAAACACTGCAGCTCTGGTGATTTGTCTGTTGCAATGTTGATAATATTTCGATTCATTGTGCAGCCCTAAATAGAAAATACACAATAGAGACAGAGGATTTAATAAAAAGTGAACAAAAATAGCAAAACTCCTCTCTGATCAATATTCACAGGAAATAATCTGCTCAAAAATGAATCAACATCTCTTGTATCATTTACACAAACTTCCTGCAGTTATTGTGTTCACTGGGGGTTTTGGTTCATTGTACAGTTTATCAGCTGTTCTGTACTGTTGCTGTTATACATTGAATATAATACGAAATATCCATAAAATACATCAGGTCAGTTTTTAGAAAAGGAAAAAGGTTGACAACCACTTAAAGTGTACCTTAAAGCTATTTATGTATTTACTTCTCCACTCACTCTTCAGGGGATAGAGCAACTGGTGTATTTAGCTTTATGTTGTTGTTATTTGCATGCTCCATTTTTCAGATTGCTTACAAATATTTCAGATTTCAGTCTTGGTCTAATAGAGAGCACTGCAGGGTCACTTTCAAGGTGTGTGTGTGTTTGTGTGTATTAAAAGTAGCAACCCCAGCTGACAGCCGTGCCAACAGTATACAGAGGTGTGCAGCCCGACCACAATAGTCTAATCTCGGCCGTCGCTAGTCCCCGCTCTCGCGTTGGCCAACTTACCCTCCAGCGTCACTTCTTTCCCGGCCTTCTTAAGCGCCTGTACCGCCAGGTCGTGCGTTGCCTCCCGGAGGTCGTTCCCGTTCACCGACAGGATCGCGTCGCCCACCCGGAGAGCCCGGCTCTGGTCGGCGGCGAGCCCCGGGAAGATCTTGGAGATGAGGATGGGCATCCGGTTCTCGCGCCCCCCCTTGATACTGATCCCCAGCCCGCCGGATTCCTGTTTGACAACTCGGACTTTCCGCACCGCTTCCGAGGAGCCGTCCAGACTGACGGGAAAGTCGCCCTGTCTCGACCCGAAGCTGGACCCGGGACTGCCGTAGCTGGAGCCGGGGCTTCCAAAGTCAGAGTTTGTGCCGTTATTTGTGTACTTCCCGGGGCTGTTTAAACCGTAGTTGCCGTCGTACTGACCCCGACTGGCACCCCCGCGCCCCGGGCTTCCGCTGCGCCCCCGACCCCCGTGGTTCTGGTTCTGGAGTTGGTCTTGACCCGAGGACGGACCGCGGCCAGGGTTCCCCGGACTCGTTCCCGGGTCGTTTCCGTTCGACATGCCATTTCGCAGGCCCGCCGAAGAGTTGTTGTAGTCCCAGTGACTGCCCCCCTGTCCGGGCGCCTCCGCCTCGGCCGTTAAAGTCAGCGTTTCTCGGGTGAGTTCGGCGGCCACTCGGATCCAGCGGTCGCGGAGCAGAAGGTCCAGTTGGCCGTTTTTGTCCGCTCTGGTCCAAACTGCCATTCCCGGACGGTTAGCCTGCTCTGAGGCGGGCCGCTTTCACACTAAACTCATCATCAACTTTTTCCTCTTTTTCAGAGTGCGCACAAGCAGCGACTAGGCTACACTGGCCCGCATCGACACACCCACTCACTCACACCGTGGCTGCAGGCGGAGGGAAAGCAGGAGGGCTCCCAAAAAAAAAGAGGGAGAGGAAAAAGAAAAGAACAACTGGCTGTGACGGGCCAGCCGAGGGCTTGTTGTTGAGTTCAGGCTCTAAAGCTGTCCGACTTCCACTGGAAAGTTAGCGAGAACAAAACAAGAGAATATCCGTTCAAACCTTTCAAAATAAAATAAATGACTACCAAATCCGTTTTTTAGGAGTAAAAAAATCTAAACAACTGCAAACTTTATGATTACTATATGACTTATATGACAAAAACAATTCTAAAAGTTAACTACTGTAGCTTTAATTCTCTAGTTGTTCTATCCATAAAATGGTGAAAAATGTTCCCAAAGGTTCAAGGTGACGTCCTAAAATAATCTGTTTTGTTCCACAACCAGTTTACTGTCATAGAGGAATAAGAAAGCAGAACATATTCACATTTGAGAAGCTGAATTCAGTGAATTTGGGCATTTATTCCTACACAGAATTACTCAAAATGATGAATTGATTATTAAAATAGTTGCCCATCCATTTAATAGTTGACAACTAATTGATTAATTAACAAATCATTGCAGAAGAAGCAGATTTTCTTTGGCGATGCAGTCACTGAATGTAGAACAAATTATCCCCCTTGTTTTGCAAGTAAACAAAATTTGTTACAGTTGCACAAAACACAGGCTAAAAACAAAATGCTGTGGAAAGATGTAGAAACCTGAAGCCACCAGTGCACATACACTGAAAATGGACTTTACAGTGACGAAATGAACAAAATGTGCATGTTCATAGATTCTGGAATTCTTAATGAAGTAGTAGAGTAGAAGGAGTAGATACTTTTTTTGCAGAAAAAACATATCAGACACACATTATTGTTCCAAGCAGACTATTTGTATATGTGTCTTAATCCATCTCTGGAGGGGATCTTTAATAAACACGGAACAATAGACAGTTTGGTAATTTAACGCTTTTATTTGGAAGTATAATCAATCAACTTCCTGTTTCATCTGTCAAATTCATTCCATCTTTACGCGGCTTGTCTGTCTGAAGAGTAAACTCAGAGCCGGATGACAAAGACAGCCAATAGACATGTAGACCTGTAGATTATTTATTCATGATGATAGAGGCGGGGCGTCCATAGACGCATTATAGATCCACTGACTGGGGACAAAGCCTTCTTAAGTTCACTCACTCACTGTGTTGGCTCTATTAATGGATACTGCTGCCTACTACAACCTGTTGTTGTCATGTTCTGGAGGTTTTATGCCATTCCCATCAGTAGAAAACCAACAGAACTTCTCTGTTGGTGAGTTTACCACTCACAAAGGCAAATTGTCAAGATGGAACTGGTAATCCACTATGTTCATTGTCCTTAAAGTCAATAACAGCTCATTATATCAGTATACAATCATGATTTTATAGAGCTATTCTAATAGTCTAGATATATTTAATTGATTGGAAAAGCGCTAAAGTGAACATAATTGAACTCAAAAACATAATAATAATAATGATAATAATAATAATAATAATAATAATAATAATAATAAAATATTAGGTGGCATTAG